CGAGACTTCATCTGTTCAAAAAAATTTAAAAATTAGCTAGGTGTTATGGCATGCACCTGTAGTCCAGTTACTTGGGAGTCTGAGTTGGGAGGTTCACCTGAGCCCAGGAGTCCAAGGTTACAGTGAGATATGATCATGCCACTGCACTCCTTCCTGTTGGTCTAGCTGAAACAAAAATTATTCCACTTTCAACCAGGCTGAAAGTGCCTGAACTGGGATACATATGGTGACTTCTCTAGCAGCCTCTGTAAGGAGTCAATATAGTGAATTCTTTGCAGAAAGTACTTTCATACACGAAAACACTTTGTTCTTATAAGAATTCATTAATTCTTGTAAGAATTATTTCATTTGATGTCATGTGGTTTGGCCCTCCAGATGGCAATTTTCATACAGAGGTTTGATATAATAATGCCAGTTCTAGAATACAGAAGAGTACAGAATTATCTGTGGTTTTTTTTTTTTTTTTTTTAGTCAGGGTCTCTCTGTCACCCAGGTTGGAGTGCACTGGCATGATGATGTTTCAATGCAGCCTCAACCTCCCAGGCTCAAGTGACCCTCCCACTTCTGCCTCCTGAGTAGTTGGGACTACAGGCGTGTACCCCTATGTCTGGCTAATTAAAAACATTACTTTTGCAGAGACAAAGTCTCTATATGTTGCCCAGGCTGATCTTAAACTCCTGAGCTCAAGCAATCTTCCTGCCTCAGCCTCCTAAAGTGCTGAGATTACAGGTGTGAGCCACCTAACCTGGCTCACGATTATCTGACTTCATAACTCCAGGCTCCATACTACATTTTACTTACTCAAGATGTGTATGTTTATTTCTTAGTCCAGGGAGTATCACTTGTCTCTCCAGGGGACTCCAAGAAGATAAAAACTGTCAGTGTTGCTAAAGTGTCATCAACTTAAGATTTCTTATCTTTACAATGGGCAGAATAGTATCAGTTTCTCCCTGGGATCATACAATTCAATGTGGTACATAATAGGAAATGCATAAATATTGTTGAAAAGTGAATGACAAGGAATCACAAATGAAGTTATACATGGTCATACTGTAAGAGTAAATACAAATCTAAAAAAAGAGAAAAACCCAGAACTTTCTCTGGTGCAACAAGGGAGAAAATGCCCTTTCCTTAGAGCACTTACTTTAGAGAAGTTATTTTACTCTTGTGAATTCTTTCCTGCCCAGTTAAGACGTAGGTAAATCTTTTTAGAAGCTAAATCAGCCTCTTTTCCAATTTTACACCCTAGTAATCTTAGAAACTTGGGAGCCATCTCCTTAAAATGTAGTAATCAAAAAATATAAAGTCATGCATTGCTTACCGATGGAGATATGTTCTGAGAAATGCATCCTTAGGTGATTTCCCCCTTGTGCAAACATCAAAGAGTGAACTTACACATGCCTATATGGTAGAGTCTCCTACACCCATAGGCTACATGATACAGCCTATTGCTCCTAGGCTACAGTCCTGTATAGCATGTGACTGCACTGAGTACTATGGGCAACTATAACACGATGGTATTTGTGTATCTAAAGATAGAAAATATAGAGAAAAATATGATATAATCTTATGAAATCATGTCATATATGCAGTTCATTATTGGCTGACATGTGACTATATACCTGTACCTGTTTTTATGAAAAGGCAGGAGCTTAACTTTGGTAGGCTCCAGGGTCCAAGTTGCAAACCTACCTCCTGTCACAAAGATATGAGAAATTTCTTTTTCTTTTGAATAAAGGCAATTGGCAAAACCAGGTGGTTCTCCCAATTACCAGGTGAATTAAGAAGAACTATGTGTGACAAATAGTGCTGTCAATTCCTTGCTTGAGGACTAGTTATTGTTTATCTTAAGAACATACGTATAATGCCTGTATCTGCTTGGTTACAGAAAAAAATTATATTTATTTGTTTATCAGAAATTGCTAACCATCCTCTAACTAGGGACTTTCTACTGAATTGACCCAAACAGGACTACTGCTCCACTTTAACCAAATATTTTCTTTGCCTTTGTTTCTGAGTCCTCCCTAATGTCTCTTCAGAGGAGCCCTGAATTACATACCAGCTGGCACTGCAAGATTCATGAATCACTGTCTGCTCGCATTAACTGTAAAACTTTAACGTGAATAAGCTGCTTATTATTATTATTATTATTACAGATTACAGAGTACTTCTCCTCCCCCCCATACTTTGCCATCATACTACTAAAGACCTATCACTACAGTTCCTTTTACTAAGTACATCACATTTGGTTATCAGCAAGAAATTACAAGGCACACTAATAAGCAAAAAAACAGTTTGAAGATTTTACTATACTTATTGAGGAAACCAGTGAAAGTGTTAAAACCAGTTCATGGCAGAACCCCCTCAAAATGTCACATTTATAGATCAAGAATGTTAAAATGATTTGCCCACAGAGGCGCCACTGGCCTCTTCCAAAATGGAAGAGGGAATTCAACTGAGCCTGCTTCAGACAGAATTTACAGGTGTGCAGACAAGAAGCAGTTTGCATGGCTATGGGCTATCCAAAACTTTCATTTGGTAGACAGTTCAAAGGCAATGAAAGAGAAGAATCAAATAACCTGGAACCCCCCGATCTCAGCAACACACTGAAACACAATTTTCCCTATTCATTGCTTATTTTGTGCCAGGAACAATTGTAAGCACCTAATCCTTACAACATGAGAGGGTGAAATGCCAAAATGGAGTAATTTAATGAAATAATCTTAGCTTACACACAACCATTGTGACATTGCCTAGTTCTGTCCTGTTTTCTTAGCAAATTACCCAGCTTGCCCTATAATTACCAGCCAAGGGTAGAACTGGTTTCCCTGAGATTGTCTATTGATAATTGTTTTCACTACACCCTTCCCAGCTTGTTTTGCACTAATTCATTTTTCTGTTCCAAGTATCTGTCTCCCACGAGAAAACCAAGCTAACCGAATCTGTTGTGATCAGCGCCTCAGGACCTAAGTGACAAAACAGACCCCATCACCACAGCAGTAGTCACGTGACCGATCTACCCATCGCCTGCCTTCCGTTATCTGACGTCACTATCTGTACTTACCTGCCCCTTCATGATAAGGTAAAACAGAGCACCACCCCATCACCCTAACAACCGGCCCCCATCACAGAGAACATCGGAAAAAAGCATTCGGCCTCAAGAGCGACAGCCATGCTTTTCTTTCCCTAAGCTTTGGCCCCCTCTCCTACCTTGGGGGGTGAATCCTTTTTTTTCCCTCTCTCGAATCCACCAACTATATTTTCAAATCTAGTTTCTGTGTAACTCTGTGCCTCTTCCCTGCAACACCGGCCCACCGACCTCACAAGTCTGACCTAACCCCACACCACACCACCAGTTAAGAAGTTTTGTTCCGTTGCCCACATGAGCAAACTGAGCCCTATAAAGAATAAACGCCCAGTAAAACCTCACGCAAGCACGCGGACTCTACACGCCCCAAGAGTTGACAAGGTCAGGCGCCGCAGCTCACACCTGTTTCCCATCACTTTAGGAGGCCGAGGCGGAAGGATGGTCTGAGTCTGGGAGTTGGAGGCAAGCCTGGACAACACGGCGAGACTTCATCTCTACAAAAAATGTTAGCTGAGTGTGTGCGTGCCTGTAGTCCCAGCACTTTGGGAGGCTGAAGTGAGAGGACCGCCTGAGCCCACGGGTTCAAGACCTCCTGGAAAATATAGTGAGACTTCGTCTCATAAATAAATAAATAAATAAATAAATAAATAAATAAATAAATAAATAAATAAATAAGCCAGGCGTGGTGGTGTGTGCCTGTCGTCCCAGGTACTCGGGAGGCTGAGGTGGAAGGATCACCAGAGCCCAGGAGGTCGAGGCTGCAGGGGGCCGTGGCCCTAGCGCCCTCTGGCCGGCAGGGTCGCCTCTGCATCCGGGACCCGGGGCCGCGGCCCTCGGGCTGAGCATGCGCGCCGCGG